GAATTAGTTGGCAGAAAAGAAAACTATTAACCGTTGGCATTTCACCTAGAACTGATGGAGCAGATCCATCAATGACACACACACAAAAGAAAAAAAAAAACCAAACAAACAAACAGAAAAAAAGAAAAAAAAACTAAAAACAATATTTCCTTACAGCTCCCTTCTGCCCAATCAACCTCCGACTTGATGGTGCCCGTGCCACTGATGAAGCGGCGGCGGCGGCAGCAACACGGATTCTGCAATAAATTACATAGCATCCATTCTTATTTTTTGTTCTTTTGGAAATAATTGGATGAGTATTAAAGCTCTAGCACTCCAATACCTTTTATGCACATCAACATATTCATCTGTTTCATCCACTATCTCCTCCTGCATTTGTAAAGACAAACAGCAGCTGATTAAGAAAAAACCTGTAGAAAAGAAACAAGATCCCAAGGGACCCTAATTTACCTGCAGAAGTTCTTCAAAAACATCTTCTAGGGTGATAATACCAATAACTTCACCATCTTCAATATCCTCTGACATTATTGGCAGTACATTTGTTGCAGCATCTTGCCTGTTTAAATTGGCAGGTCTTGGAGCCTTATCAATGTCAACAACAATGCTCTCTGGCTTTTCTTCCAGCTTGGATAGCAGAGGTGTAGTCGGTTCGGAGTCTGCAAGTGAGACTTTGTTTTCCTCATATTTTTGTTCATCAACTGTTGGAGGAAGAATCTTATTTTTTCCTTTAGCCTTGACGACAGCTGCCATATGACTACTGCCTTTTTGAAACTCATTCAGTATATCATACAGAGGCATATCAGCCGGAACCCTGTGGAAACATCCACACATGAATTGCAGAATAGAAGGATATTTTATACTTATTACCAAATAGAAATGATAAGCATATACATGAATAATTACGAAACCTTGGAATTCTCCGGATGGAAACAGCACTGACTGGTGTCTCAGTTTCAGGGCGTACAGTGAGAAGGCTTTTCACCTAATTCCAATGTCCAAACAAGATTAGAGATGCAGAATAAATAAAATAACCAACAAGATCAGCAAAGCTTTAGAAACCAAAATGCATGAAGGATATGAGCCTTCATCTACAGTCTTAGGTTATAACACATACCAGCAGAAGTCCAATAATGTTTTTTGGATTCCCAGAGTAGACAGGGACACGGCTATGACCACGAGCAAGAATCTTACCCATTGCCTCCCTGGGGTAATTAATTAAAGATTAAAGATCAGAGACAGATGGATGAACAAGAAACTTATTACATAATTCTTTTTAGAATTTCAACTAGGGTTTAAGAAAACAATACAAAAGGATCTGGGTCAGCAGTTTCATTGAAACCCTCGACTTCACTAACACATACAACAGCTTTATGATAGAAAAGTAATGACCACCATTCTAGTCAAAATGCATCTACAGTGCATAAGTAGTTGTAAATGCTCAATGCATTTATATAAAGTATAGGATAAGTGGAAGGAAAGACATATAAAGCCAACATACTTTTGTGAACACGAAAAATCATTATACAACTATTGAAGAGAGGAAAATGGATGTACATAAAGAAATTGAACATTTTTAACATTTTTCATTTTCTTTATGATGGATTTAGGAGAGGTAATGGGTTGTATGGAAATATGAACTTTAGCACTCATCATGATTAATGTATAAATCCTTCTTACACCAAATGAAAAGGAGCAAAAATTACCAGTCCAACTTTGAATTGACATCTAAAGAGAAAGTTGATTCTATAGGTGTCATAGCCTCCTCAGCAGTCTGTCCAACCATTATAATGAAACAGGAAAAATAAATTTAAGATGCTAAGCAAAACGATAAAATTGTTTGGAATGTGATAATCCAAGTGATGCCACTACGACAGAAGAGTGTGCGAATTTAAAGCTTATATTAATTTCTAATATTCCATTTTTGCAAGATAAGTGACCATATATCAGAATCTATATAGCATAAAAAAAGATTCAAAGCCATCAATCACACTACTTTTATGTGATGCATACCTTTTCAGTCAAATCTAGTGCTCCGCTGATAATTGTTGTCTCATCATGAGTGAGCTCACCTCCCTTGCCAGCCTAAATAATTAAATCAAGAAAGAAACAATCAATATGAAGAAAGAGACACTGGATGTACAGGCAATCTTCTGCCAGTTCTATAATATTTGACAAATTAGCCTACTTTGGCAAAGGATTACTATAATGTTTAATGTATAGTGACTTCAAATTGATTTACCTCTTGGCTGTGGATGGAGACAAGTGCTTTTAGTTGAGCCCGCCTAAATAGCGCTTCGTTATGCCCCAGCACCCAATCCAAAATCTGGAAAACATATATAACAATACTGCTTCATCAATTCAAATAGCCTGTCAAAACTACAGAAATGCGAAGACATAATAACTCTAACAGAGACTATACTATGTTTAGACTCAATCTTCTTTTCCTTTTTCTTTTTCCTTCTATTTTGGGGGGTGTGCAGGGTAGGCAGGGAATGTTGAAGCTTCATTCTACACAACAATTCAACCTTTATTATAGCAAAGATGAGAACAACAACAAAGACTAGATATAAGAAATGAAAGAAATAATATTTCCCTCTATGTCTCTATTGCTTCTACTTCCTCCCTCCTTCCCCACTCAATACTAAATCATGATTTCTTTCATCTTTAGGATAACAAAAAGGTCAAACTCCAGTACCTTTACTTACTCAGAAAGGGGGAAAACTCATTACCTGATGTTTCCCCGGAGAAAATCTGTAGGTAAGGAAGGATAAGAGTAGCACAAATATATTGACAGGAAAATACGAATCATTAGACCATCATAGGCATACTCAAAAAAAAAAACTCAATTTGCCAATATTGATTAAAGAGTCCCAGACCTCAAAGCTCCAAGGAGCTAAAAATAAGGATTTCCTCCAACTTTATTTAGCTTTCAATGAGTAGCACTGACTTTTTTTGTAGGGAGTTGGCTAATAATCAACCACATAAAACTCCATTCTAGCGAACAGAGTTCAAGTGCTGTTTGTCATGTAATAGTATCACATTGACTAAATAGACAAGATTAATTACAAGAATTATCTCCTGAATCAACTCAACCAATATTATGTATCACAGGACAAGGAATTATTAGAACAGTTAAAAAATTCAGCCTTTAAATGACTTATTCCAGCATGGGAGTCAACAGAGTGCAACTCATAGAAAATATTGCAAGAATGTAAAGTACTGGCCTTTGAATTTACCTTTCCAATGGGATAAGCTATTGGATAGCAAATAATCATTAAAATTCTGACAAGCACTACAAAATTTGCACCTACAGCAAGTCCGTATCTTGTGCATATTGATTGTGGAATAACCTGAAAAGTAAACAGAACTCATCTTGGCCAAGGATTCAAAGGTCGAAGTCAACCTAATACGGAACAAAAGTTTGAACAGCCTACCTCACCAAAAGCTAGAACAAAAGTCACAGAAAGTATAATAGCAACATATTGATTGAAAAGCTTATCCAGGTATATAGGAAGGGCCTGCAAATTCCAAATGTCAAGGCTGTCATTGAAAGTCAACTTTTTCCTGAACATCCTTAGTAAATTTAATACACACTAATTTGCCAGTAATTTTCAAGATAATATCATAGAGCAACTTGAATAATATTGTCAGATAGCCTCGGCCTCATAACAACCATCATGTTCAGCAACTAGGTAGTTAATCACAGCAATCTACCTTAAATATTTGTTTCTGTAATTCACTAATTGCATAATAAAAAATAAAAACTAGATATCAAAAAACACATAATTGCAGCCATCGATTAAATACTTCATATAAGAGCCTATTTAACATAGTGCAATCCCATTCCTATAATCCAATTCAAGCAAAAAGTATAAGTCATTGGCTTGCACTGTTGCCACATGCAAAGGTCCAACAAACTTGCAAGTAAGAACACGTGTTAGCGATCAGCAAGCTAAAGTTAAGAACTCCCTTATTAGCTTAAAACTTTGGTTCCAATCTTTGACTTATATCAAAACTTCAGCTTTAGCAAATCCAATTTCAAATGGTCGTCTTACACAACTTTGTCTAATCAAAAGTTTTGAATCTATCCTTCTACCCTTTTTTTTTTTTGCATCAAATAACAAAAAAGCGATAATTTCACTCAAATGCATATCCAATTGAACCGAAAAAAGTTGTTGAATTAGTTTTACCTCCATAGCAGCGGCATTGCAAAGAAGCAGGGTCACCAAAAGCTGATGCTGTTTCTGAACCACTGGCAAAATAGCAGCTAAAAACAAAAAATGAAATAAAATAAAATATCTCAGAATGAATAATTATTCTAAAAATTCAATCTTTTCTTCACACCAATTCCAAATCAAAACCAAAGAAATTTAGTAATATATATATTCTACCGGCTTGTTTCTTCTCAGTCGAAGTGCCGCTGCGCTGGAGAATTTCGAGTTCGACGAGACCAAGCGACATGAGTCCAAGAGTGAGACCCGACATGATCCCCGCGAAGAGGACTAAAAAGCCAGAAATCCCGGCGTAGATGAACCACCACGCAGATCCGAACGGAATCCCACCTCCGACGGATTCATTGACGGAGGCGGCCGTGTTCAACAGCATCCTCGCCGCCACCACCGCATTTATCGGATGCATCGCGGCCGTTTCAATCACACGGAGTCCAAGACAGAAAATAAAAAAGGCAGAAATGTTTGGTTCTTTTCCTATCCTTTTTGGTTCGTCAGTGAATATGCTGAATAAAATGTCAGGGACTTGGGTGAGACCACGTGGCCAGATCTGTAGGGTTTGGTAGGGTGTGTTCACGAGTCGGTAGAAATAGTGGTGGGAACAGAATCAACGGTGGTGTCGATTAAAATCGAACACGTGGCAGAAGATGCGTGATCTGCAGATGGTTCCGTGGCGGGCGGTCGTATTCAAATATCTCCGCATTTTATTCTCTGACTCTCTTTCTATTTGTGTTATATAAAATTAATGCAAGAGTAAAAGTATTAGAAAAGCTTAGCCTAATATAGGGAAAAAGTACGAAAGAAATTAAATCATAACTAGTAATATCATCATGTTTCATGCTCCAAAAACCAAAAATCACTATCCTTTAAGGTACCATGAAACAATCATCATGTTTATTGGTAATTGGTGTCTTAATATAAGCTTTTCTTCCCTTTTTTTTTTCTTTTAATTTGTTAATTATAAAGATATTCAGATCGCAGAGCAAGGAGGACTGATGACAACCGTCACTCTCAAATTTTTTATTTTTTTAAGATTATATATATATAACTTAATATATATATATAATATAATTGCTTTTATAATTACTCTTTAATCACTTCGCATGTAAAATTTTAAATCCGTCATTGTAATTCGGGAATGCAAATCAATATAAATAATAATAAAGCTAGTCTTCGAGATTGGAAGTATCCCAAAGTATTTGTTATGACTACACCTACTGATGGAAACTCAAAATGTGGGATTTGACACCCTGACCTTTATCCAAACCTTGATTAAATCATTGTAAGACATGATGGTCAACAAGGTAGTTAATGAAAAACCCCATTTTATGCTTTAAACTCAAATGGTTATGTGGTTTGAGTAACTCATTACTCTATTTTTTTAAATCAGGTTAACCTTTCAGCTGAAATGGTTATGTGGTCTTTTGCACTTTTGTAATCTGTTCACTGAAATTTTCATTTGTTATTGAAGATAAAGACAGATTGGAGTAACAAATATTCATAGAGGTAAAGGTAGACACAACAAAAATCTCTTTGATTCTCAACAGAAACCATAAGTGAAAGACTGCACCATGCTTCCCTAAGCACTGAATTAAGCTGTTAGTTGCATCAGACACTAGGTGAAATGCTTCTTACTTTTTTATTGGCTCAGAATGATTTCCAGGAAAAAGAAGCTTTACAATGAGGCAAACATTAAAATTTGTATGGTGTTGCCCTCCCCCGATTTTTGGACAATCCAGGCGTTGCAATTTTAACTAAAATAAACCTGCCATCAAAAAACTAACCAATTTGGAAGGCTTGAGAACAGGAAGTTAGGGTATTGCCACATGAGTATATATCAATGTAATTGCTAGATATGCTACCTTTCCATTCATCTCCTTCACGGCTAACTGGGCCGATTGTTCCTCATCGAACCAAACAAAAGCAGATCCTAAGGACTGCTTAGATACTCTTTCTCTGACAACATGGACTGCTAGATCATATTAAACAATGAGAAAGAGAGCTACAATGAGAACAATGCTTGCCGTAATTTTTAGAAATGATGCAAAAACCTGCAGTTCACCACATTTTGAATATGAAAGTAAAGATACTTAACAAATTAAATTTACAACACTAATTTCCAATACCAACTAACAACTTTGATTTTGCAAGAACTCCAAGCAGAAACATAGGCACATCAGAGTATCCTTTGTCAATTGATGACATGCTTATTTTTGGGATCAAGTCTTTTCTCAGTACAAGAAATGAAGCAGTATTCACTAGAGAAGCTTAATTAGATAGGGCAACTAGATTTAGAAACTCCTTTCTTTTCTTGCAGGCCCTCATATTTGCACATCCATGATCATTACATTCACCAGATTTACTAACATATTTTACCAAATACTTCGGTCTAAATACAGAATCATGCTTTCTTTCTTTAGCCGGGTGAAGTGTAGTGCAGGATTGTTTTCGCTCTATGTTTTATACCCCCTAGACACCGCATTTACTAAAGTGTTTGGCCACTAATTCTTTCCCACAACTATAAATTCATTAATGCACAATTATATGAAAAATATGTCACAGAAAAACGTATTATTAAAGGAATATGTTATATCAAGAGGACATGAATGCCTTCATAGTATTTTTTCAATAATCCTATCCAAATTCATTAGAACTATTTCTTGGATGAACATCATAGTAAGCGAAAAGAAAAACTTGAGCTACAAAATTCTGACAAACCAAAAAGAAAACTTTGATAAACATGCTCACCCTGTTTAACTTCCCCGAACTGTGAAAACACCCTCTTCAAACGTCCTTCAGCGGTTGATTGAGGCAATCCTAAGACACCAACATAGAAAAACAATCATGCAATGTCAGCTACATTTATCATTACCATCAAAAATCCACGATATACACAAGATCTTAAAACTTTACCTTTGATGAAAACTCCTGCTGAAGTAGAACTATGGGATTCTGATTGAGAACTGGAGTTAGAACAGCAAATGGTTTGATGGGTCAGAGATGGGTAGCTTGTTCTGAATGTTTTGGGGATATGGGCAATGGAGATTGAGCGTTTTGAGTTGATTGTGGACAGTTTTGGAGGTTGAAGGGAGGAAGACAGTGGCGACTGACATGACAGAAACACTGCCATCCGAGCAACTGCAAATGCCCAAAGCCCTGTTGGATTTTGAGAAACTTTTATCTTTCCAAAATGGAAGCGTCTTCTGGCCCTGATTTTGGTGGGCTTATGTTGTGCTGGAAAAAGTGTAGACCTCCTCACTATTCTTGGGCCAAACTACTTCTCCAGTAAGAACAATATATTAAATTTTTTTTAAATTGACCTTTGACATAGTTCTTGAAAAAAAAATTTAAATTATTTAAAAAAATTCAAATAAGTCACTCAATCAAGTTTTTATATTTTTATTATGATCCTAATTGGTCTATATAACTACTAACTGATTAATTGTCCTTAATTAAAATATCCATTGTCATTTAAGTTCATATGAAGCTGAGCATAATACTGACTTGAAAAATGAAAATGTTACATAATCATATCATTATAACACATTATTATTCATTATAACATATTAACATGTCACGTCAAGATTGCATGACGTAGATTGATAAGTAGTATTTTGATTAATAACAACTAGTCAATTATTAGTTATAAAAGTTTGTTTGACTCAAAATAAAAATATAAACCTTAATTAAACATAATAAAATAATAAAAACTTATCTGAATTTGTATGAATAATTTAAAATTTTCTTTTTAAATATTATAAAAAATATATATTTCCCTTTTGTTTAATCATCCGTGATCCAGGCTGCCTATACCCCACAAGCATTGGCTAAAAATTTGGCTATATCTCTTGGTTGAATTTAATATAAATATTTTCACAAGATAAGTGGGGGGGATTTTACCACATAGAAAACGAAACAAAGAAAAAGTTGTTTGAATTCTATATATTTGTGGTTATTAACTAATACCAAGTTGATACTAAAGTTTCATAATTGAATTGGTCACTTCTTTCTTATCTCAAGGAATGTTTGAGTTATCTAGATGAAATTTGACCCCATTCACTCATTCATTCATTATGATGATAATAAAAAAAAGGGGGAATGCCTGATTAGATAGACAACATAAAGTAATGCATTAATCAATCACTAATTGAAAGTACTTTGGAATAGGTTTGGATGCATATATATGTTAAATTCGTTGATGATCTTCTTAAGCATGAAAAGCCTAAGACCATTGGGGATATAATAAAGATATGTGATGGGAAATTATAAAGTTATGATTGGAATTTGGAAAAACCATCACCATTAAAACCCCATAGTCTAAATTAAGTGACAATAGGTTTAACCTAAGCTAAATTCATTCTCGAGGGAAAGTGGGAATCGGATTAGAAATATATCCAAGGTCTCAATCTCATTTATATGCCCTTCCACCCCCGACCCCCCCAAACCTTATGTCAATCCCAAGTGGGAATCACAAGATAAATATATATATATATATATATATGTGTGTGTGTGTGTGTGTGTTCATTAATAATATATAAAAACGAATGCCCTAAATCTCATACGAAATATTACTCTTAAGGGTTAAAATTTAAGATTTTGATTTGATTAAGATGGCAGGTGAGATTTAAGGGATAGAAGAGAGACAAAATACATAGGGAAGATAATATAAAAGCAGAAGATGAGACAATACACATGCATGAGAGTCGTTGACATATCACCTTCCTACAAATTGATTTCGAGCCTAATACATACAAAAAAGGCCGTGCCAAAACAAAACCAATCAAGTTTCGCACTTCTAAACGTCTTTGAATTGTTGACTAGCTCTAGCAGTCGACGTCACCTTGCGAAAATGTAATCTCCCACATAATATGAGCGATATTTTTCTGCGAAGATCGGCGGTTGAAAGCATCCATCCAAAGGACTTTCCCAAAAGTGAAAAACAAATAAGGCCACCAAACTAGAGACGACAAGATTGAATGAATAATGTCAGGATGAAAGCGAAGGGCATTTGATCAGTTACAGGGTGTGGGAGCTTGGAGGTCCTTTGGGAATAGTTAGGGGTTCAAGTGGGAGGGTTTAGGGTTTGATTCAAGGCCTGAACAAGACATCTTGCCGCCCATCATGATGATGATGTGAGGCTTTCATTCTTTTTCTCTCCGCAAACGCATGCATTTTTCTCTTTCCTTCTGCCCACGTGTCCTGCTTGGAATAAACTTTAGTCGTCTCACCACCATAAATATTAGTATAAATATACAAATGATCATAGCTAGCCTTTGTCTTCAAGTTGCGGCTCCAGCACACAATTGAAGATTAACTATAGTCCAACATGTTCAAACTCTTAACAAGCTTCCAATCCCAAAATTATAAGTTCAGTTTTAAGCTTCCAAAATGGGACATGATTTTCTTTTTTTATTAAGTTGTGTCGTTATATATCTCTCCATCACATTCTAACTCAGAATCTAAAACCTAAGTCCTAAATATACCAAAATAATAATAATAACCAATTACATAATAATATTTTTTAAAAAATGTCAATGCCATAAGGCCAACCGTGTCCAATATGGTAGGCTTTGTAAGGTAAATGAGAACGAAATGGCCAGCTTGAAAATTTTCAGGACCATTGAGAAGAGAATGCGATGCTATGTCGGGCTACTTCACCATACACATGACTTGTCTCGATAACTACCACCCCGTACGTGCACCACCAGCATGGATGGTTCGCCTGTCCTTATGGTGTACTCCCTAGGCAACGACACAAGATTCCCCTATGCTAGAATTACGTACCATGCTAGTTTTTTTTTTTTTTTGGTTTCATAAATCTATATATATATATATTGATGCAACACCTCGGACTATATATATGGCCTTGGTTTCGTTTGGTCACCATTAAGATACCGCACTACCGATATTGCGCCCAAGTTTGATCCTTAAGTTGTTTTGGCATGATATTTTGTTTGATCACTAAGATAATGATAGGTCACAGTCTGCTCTTTGATCTTTATATTGTCATATACTCAAACATGTAATTGATTGAAAGTGATAAGTTGAATCAGACTGTGTGTTGTGGCCTGTGGGTATTCCTTCCTTTCCTCCTCGTCTTATTCACACCTTAACTTTTTCCATTATAAAGGATAGAACACAAATCATACAGGGGGACGCGTTAGCATCTTTCATTTTCTCTTTTTGGTTTTAGTTTTGTCTAATTTAACAATCAAACAAAGATTATGTGCTTCCAATTTTTTTATTTTTTGTGAAAAAATTAGGTATATATGCAAAAAGTGTATTTTTGGGATGCATATATACGTGCAATAATGCATGTATCCTTATACATGATTTGATTATTTTTAGACGTATTCATAGAATTTTCTCAATCCATTGTAAATAGCAATGCCCAAAGGAAGTATAGCAAAAAATGCCTCAACTTACTTATGGTATTGTAGGCAATGACCCTTTGCTTATCCTTTTTTGTTTACTAATCTCCACATACTTCACAATATTTACCGTAGTAAAGAACAAATGTTAATTTAATCTTTAAAAAATTAACAGTTGTCTGACATGATTTTTTACATTAATCGACTTTGATTATGTTTGCAAAATAATTAACCTATTAACATGATGTTAGCAAATTTTCTTAACAATATTAAACATTAGAGAGAGCACGCTAACAATAAAGGTTCATGCATCGCATTAAATAACTGTTTAATAACCAATGTTATTTTATTATCCCCTTTTCGAAATGACAATACTGATCTGCATTGATATTTTTGTCATGGCACAAGTTGATGGAAATGCTCTCTTACTTGAGAGAACAAGTGTACGTTTAAGAGAAGATAATTAAATAATAATTATACAAAGAATCTTCGTGTGACATTACCTTTCAGTTATCAATATATATATAATATATATATATATATATATATATATATATATATAATGATATAGATATATAGATACCCCCGAGGGCTTTCTTACCTCTCGCCAAAAGAACAAAAAGGAGAAAAGAATGATACCCCCCTCCATGGAAGCTTTTATAAAATCATTATCCCCTTTTGCGTTTTATGGGATGCAAAGCCAAAGGTTAGACCTCTTTTCCCTATAATCTCTCACTGAAGCTGATTTTGACCACTTGAAAACTGAAGGATGTCTTTTGTTTTTTTTTCTTTTTGTCCTTTGCAGGTTCCATGGAGGCATTTTATACTTTGGGAAACTGTTATTGATTTAATATTTATTCCTAAATTCGATGAGAATAATATATTAAATAAAACTTTAATCCGGGTCTATTAATACCCGTTAACTAATTAATTTAAACAGTCATAATGTAATTAGAGGCGGGAGTGAGTGGGGGGGTGGGCACCAAGCAGCATAATATATGGATTGGAATCAAATGGCATTGAGAGGACAAGGGCTTCTGCATTGACCCCACCACCCTTTTCCAGATTCCAATCCGAATGTTCAATCGCAGCCGTTGATCCTCATCAACTGTCAATCGAAAGCATAATACTCCCTCCCATCAAATCAAGGGAGGTCGTTTTTGGTGGGGTCCTGCAGTTTCAAGGTTCCAAAGCCCTCTGATGTGGTATCAATGGCAGTTGGTTAAGCAATCATGAGTTGGAGCTTTTGATATTCCAATGATTTCTTTATATACATATACCATTTGTAAATATCATTTCTGAAAAAAGTACATTACAGGTCATGTCACACCGTAAGGACCAAATTACCACTATTGGTCTGGCGCACAAAGGGTTGGGATCCATGGGCTTATTTGACTTTTTACACAAACAAATGACACCGGACCCCGTGAAGGAGAGTCTCCTGCATCGAGAATTGACGCATGGGCACCGCACCCAAGCATAAAAAGGTTATTTTTGGTAACTTCAGAGATAACAGTGCGCACGGATTTCTAAAATGCTTCCATTTGTACGGCCACCAAATGTACGTAGTTAACGACCTGACAGCAACCTCTAAAACTATAACTTCTCCAATCTCCACACAGTAATTTTTTTTTATTTTCTTTGTTGTGTAACCAAAAATTCAGATAGAAAATATATATATATATATATATATAGAGAGAGAGAGAGATAGAGGTAAGATGCCAGCCTGCCATGTGGCATGATGCCACGTGGAATCATCGTTTGCATGTGGGAGATTCCGTGTGTGTGTCCTACCTTTAACGGGTCGCCGCCGCTACGGCGGTTAAGGGGACCGATGATGTGGAGGCGGTGGAATCGGAGGAGGGTATAATGGAGGCGACACGATTATCGTCGTACAGGAATTGGTCCACGATCATGGTGCTTGGTCCCGCCACGAGTCTGTGCCATGCCTTGTCAGCCTCCTCGCCACGCTTTAGGAATACTTCGGTGGCATCAATCCGGTGCATTCTCCACTTCCATTGGTTATAAAGGCGGTCGATTTTTTCCAATTGGCGACAAGCTAGCAAAGATGTATTTTCTTTGATTTTGAAATGGCTGTCCAAGCAACCTCGCTCGAATTTTGGCATCAAGAATTGATTCAGCACGGAAATATTGGTCCATCTCTGGGACCCCAATTGCACGTCTAATCCCGCGGGAATAATCAGCTCTCGGATCAAAAATTTGTTTAACCTCATCAACCATGCCTGCTTGCACCATCCTATCAACCCGTTCGGACACAAATGAGTGTAACACGGGCAATGACACATCAACCACAGGAAGCAACACTCGTACCTTAATTGAAATTCAGGATCATGGTTCACCAATGCCTCGATGTACGAATTGGAGCCGCCGGCGATGATCGGGAGGCGGCCTTTGGAGACTATGGATTTAACAGCGACTGATGCATGGTGACGGAAATTCATTGATGTGAAATTCGAGTTTGGGTCTACTATGCCTAGCAAATGGTGCGGGACTCCACGACACTCCTCTTCAGTGACTTTGTTAGTTACTATGTCAAGGCCTTTATAAACTTGCATTTTGTCCGAATTTACAATCTCAGCTGGATCAAAACAGGTGGCTAGGTCGATTGCCAGGCGGGACTTGCCAGTGCCGGTTGCTCCCATTACGAACACCACCTTATCTTTCCTGGGAAAGAAAGACTCCACGTTGAGCCCCCCTCGGAAATTCCCTAGGGGTGGTACTTGTTTGCAGGCAGGCAATGAAAGGACGTTCATGTTCAAACCCTGGAAAAGTTGGCAGAACATAGTATATAGTTAGAACAAGGCCAGTTGAAAATTCTGTTTGGAATGGAAAAGGGAAGGAAGAGAAAGCAAAGATCGTGAGTTCTACTCTATGCGTATGGAGATAATAGAGAAACAAGACCATGGTAAGTAACTAAGTAAAGCCAAGCTCTCTATATAACCCACATATTTCCATGGACCACTATTACCTTTTATTGTCAAATATGCGGCGACCTGTAGAAGAAAGTGGCCCTTACAAGCTGCCTATGTTAGAAACCCCCAAAAAGAGAGAGAAATCTGCAGAGGAAAAAGGGCAAAAGAGAACGTGTAAACTGTTGCAGAAGCAGGGTTGAAATGGTGATGATGGATGTGAAATGAATAGGCTAGTAGTGGGAAGAAACGAAGGGAATGGGTATACGCAAAAGGAACAGTTTCGTGTTCCTGTTCTGAGCACCACAAAAGGGTGTATGTTGAAATATTTTTCTGCTGCTATATCTATTTACACTAGCAAAAAAATATTTGTCATAAAAAAAAGGGAGAGCACTTGTATGAAGGAAATATTGAATCTTTTGAGGGGTTTGAGAACGAATGATTATGACAAAGAGGAGCTGTCCATCCCACTTGAAGCTTACAACTATGGAGAAGATTAGGCTGTATTTATATATGGTGCCCGGAACAATAACTTTTAAAGAGTCTTTTTTTTTCTAGCAAGTGGCTTCACAGGGCTTTCGTGACTCTGAACTCATCAGAGAACACGTCAAACGTATTAATTTATTCATTAGGTTTATATCTGCTATTATTTTCTTTTGGTGATGGGATATCTAATTCTCTTGTAGGATCACTTCTCCAAATTCACTCTTATCAGAAAAAGAAGGAAAAACCTTAACAGAAAACCAGGAAAAAAAGGAAAAAAGAAGCAGAGCATAGACAAATGTTATGTGTTCTTACGCTTTTGTACGTCAATCTTTGAAGATGGTAGCATGGATGTTTCATGGAACCTGAGTGACACCAGTGTATTGTCCTAATTGGTAGGTCAAAGGGTAGGCTGACTTTGGTCTGGCTCCAAATTTAACCATATTAAATTTCCGGACAGACCTCTTTGCTATATGACTCACCATTTTTGTTTTTCATATATTTCATGAAAACTTCCATGAATTTATATTAAAGGGTCGTCTGTTTAATGTTTTCTGTCTGCGCCATGTCTAGTGTCTTGTATTTTATCAATTAGAATTAGTCAACTGATCATAGGAGAAGGATGTGGCTCACAAGAGGATTCCTCCTTTTTCCTTTGTTGTTTTATCAATAGTCTCAATATATATAAATATATATACATATGTATATATATTTTGGGAGGGTGCTTCATGTTATGTCCTGATCCCGCATATAAAATAGCAGCACATTACCCAACAATGTGGGTGGGCAGTGGGCTAGTTGTTTTCAGAAAAAGCAGTGGGCAAAGAGAATTTCACTTTTAGTGGTTTTGATACCTAAATATTAGTTTTATGTCCAGTTCAAGGCCAAACCCAAACTCTTGTGTTCAATTGAGAATTTTTATGCTCATATGGTGTTTTTGCCCTTAGATGCCGCAGGTGATTAATTGGTCTTTAATTTCTTTTACTGAAAATGCTGTTGACAATACTTTTCTTTTATATTGCCTCTGATCCAGAGAATAGAAAATGCATAATACTATCAGCAGTTTGTTGCAGTGTTTGATGAGTGAAGACTGAAGAGGAAAGAAAAAAAAAATGCATTTCTTTTCTCAGTAAAACCCTGTAAAAAGTGAATGCTATATATAAAGGTTTTCTGCAGACTGGTGGTGTTTATGCAAATTACTTTTTAATTTTAAACTTGGAATAATTCAAGGCTGCAAATTGCTGCTTCCAGAAGATTAGCAGTACTGCTTCTGTATTCATTAGAAGAGAAAGCTATGTCTGAATGTTTAAGTTAAGCAATCTGCAAACAATCAAGTGAAAATTGTTTGAAACTAGCTGTAGAAAAATATCACCACTTGCACCAGACAAGATTGTATGTTTTTCTAGGTAAGGAAGAACTGTTAAACATCAGAATTTAGTTTCCATAAATAGCATCCTCTGGAATCATATAGACTTGAAAATTTGGAGAATAAGTATTGTTTCAGTACAGAAATATTGGTAGGTTTCTGTAGGAATATTGAGAGTGTAAAGGTTGTTTAGAAATTTATGCAGCAAATTGATTGACTACACATTCAAGAATCTTTATTCTTTCTCTTTTTCCTTTCCCTTTTATCCTTTCTTTTTGATTATTTGGTATTCTCTTCCTTTCTTTTCTTGTTGAATTTCCCTTGTGGAATTAACTAAATCAGATCTCTGTTCACTGCTTTGACTAAGCAACTTTGCTTGACAGTACACTGAAATATCAGTGGAAGTAACAAATTGAAGGATACCAGAGGCACTGCTGCCAATTGGTAATTAGTATGCAGCAATACTGATAAACTGATATAAATACTATATAGTATCACTATCATTACTTGCAGTTAAGATGCTTTTTGACATTTCCCTTTATAGATCATACTTTTAGAGCCATTATAGCTAATTAGAGGCAGCAATGAAATTGCAGATCAACATCGATATATTCAGGCTTCCTTCTTGTCCATGTAAGTAAAACTCACTGTAAGCATAAGTAGAAAATCTAGCTATAGCAGAGAAGCGTTTACCCCTCCCCCATTTTATATATATATATATATAATGGAGCATCATTAGACCCTTTTCTTTTCGACTGTTATTCTAGGTGTTGGATCAATGATGACAAGTGAAAATCTTTACAAAATGGTAGTAATGCCTAATTTAAACACTCCCAAAGCGCATAAACAACTTAAAAACAAAGACATGAATCTGAAAGTGACTGTGAAAAAATGTCTGAGTTTGTCTAATCACACGTGTTACCACTTAATCACTATCGTCTGCTAATATAAAGAAGTTTTCACTGTCCACAATCATGTGTCTCAGCTCTCACATCAATTAGACGGATACCGCTGATAATCATTAGGAAGAGAATAATAAACGTTATCTAAAGGTACCAACTTGTCAAATAGTTTATGGTAAAGATTGGAGAAGAAATATTATTGTCAAAACATAGGCGGGGGGGGGTCCTGAATCGATGAAAGATGAAGTCAAGCATGCATTCAGATTGCAGAGTACAGATTTATATAGCTATTTTTTTTTGTGATGAATGATGGGTGAGCGTGCGTTTGTATATAAGTGCTGAAGTCACTTTAAATATCAAATTCAAATGGGAGTGGCACTCAAAGGATATGATTGAGAGATTATAAAAAGGATTGCCCACAACTTGCTTTCTTCCTCATAGCTTAAAGGAGACTTGATGGTCTTCCATTTCTTTGAATATGTATTCAAACACATAGAGAGAGCTGCACAACCAATAATCATTCCGCAACACTTTATCTGGGGGCATGAGTTAAACTTTCCATTAGCTTTTCATGATTAAGTAGGCGGCTCCATTGATTATACTAATCATCACCATCATCCTTGCATCATATGTTGGTGTCTGTTATGCAAATGCTTGGTGAGAGAGAGCTACCGACGGAAGATTTGCAGCACCAAGCAAGAAGAAAAATCAGGCATTCTACATATCCCACCAAAAGCATCTGTGATTTTGATTTACATTTGGTTTTGGCGTGGCTTCTATCCTTTGGAGAAGCTCTCGAAAAAGCAATCATAAGCAAGTCAATAATGGGGTTAATATATATATTTATTTAACCTAACTTTTTCTTAATAGAATCACCATAACTTCATTATTATAATCCTAAAGGACACTAATACTGATAAACAAGACTTTTTTTTGCAGATGCACATTTACACTTCTTAAATATTTATTCAAGGGCTGTTTCTTCCTTTGAGCCCACCTTTGTTTGATTCCCTAAGACCCCACTTCCCATTCAGTGCATTTATCGAAAAGTTCCAATTCTTGCCACCATTTTCTTGTGTTTATTAGGACTCAATTGGAGAACCAAAAATTAAAATTAATAAGAAACATCAGCCATTGTCATTTTCTGCAGAATTTCGAGTATCGTTCATTGAGATAGCTGGTTTGCTACGCGATGGCATGGAATGCCATCAAGTCAAATAAATTTTAATGCAGTTGAAATACTCTTTCAAGCTAATTCCATGGTTGTCAACGCGTTTAGTTGTTCCCATGTCTTATTCTTCACTTCTTTGACAATTGTTTACTTGATTTATGCATATATATATAAAACCTGATCTGAGGATAAGAGCCAAGATGTTCATATTTTTATCTGCTAAACAATGACAGTTTTATACGTCAAATTGTAGTTTAATTAGTCTCTGACAACCAAACCCGAACTATCCAGGAAGAAGTGTGTAATACTATGCAAATCACCTATGACGTCTGCGCAAAATGCCACAGCCAGAATTTAAGCGCTTATTATAGTTCAATCAGTCAGGGTGGTTCCAGCCTACTCTGCCTATGCAAATTACTAGGGTGTTAGAAAATTAGTTTACAGCCTAACCTGGTGATGAAGATGAACCCTCTTGGTCTAGGTTTTTAGGGTGTCTCAAGTCTATCCAGAATGCTTATAATCAAAACCAGTCAATGAGCAGCGATCATTCACGTTTACTTTTCAGCTTGGAGGGAACAAAGACTGTATTTGTAATATCTCGCCTCCCATTTCATTTCTAGTGAGTTTCTAGATGACATGAAACTAAGTGGCCATTCGAGAAAGAAGCCAACAATATAAAGTTAGCAGGATAATATAAAGTTGAACATGACAAACAAATTAGCTAATGTTGATCATTCTGAATCACGCTGACATGAACAGAACTCCTGTCAAATATGAGCTTTAAATTGACATGATTGTTGACTGAACATAGGAATAAGAATTTCCAACTCTACCTACATCAGAACTCCTGGGGTGGCGGGGGGGGGGGGGGGGGGTGGCGCTGTCAAAAAAAAAATGCTAATCTATAATCATAGCAATATAGGAATAATATATCAGGCATTGAAAGGCACAAAGGAGAATGATTTGGAAAACGCAAAAGCATTGTTTTCCCGATAGATTTTGCTGAGCTGACCCCATGCATGGTAGGTATTGGGAAATGAATTCATCTAGAGGTGGTGAATAGGACTGCCCACCAACTTGCCTAGGATTTATTAAAACCAAATATTTAAGGCAAGTTACTATAATTTAAATAGAGTCCTTCCTTCCAGGATCATTCATCTGGAAATCCGTACACATATTCTGAATAACTTCTCTGGTCATTTTCATCTAAAAGTGGGTAGGTCGCCAAGCTAGAAACCAGAACTTTTAAACCTGCTACTAGCAAACACAACTACCTATATGTATGCACTGCTGTCTGCTTTTTGTTCTCGGGTTTTCTCCTACCAAGGTTAAGAAACCTGAATTCCCACATAATAAGAATCTTTTTGATCGGATGAGCCAGAGTTAGAACAGCAAATATTTTCCGACTTCTGATGGTTATAGTTCCCCTTTTACCATGAATTCTGGTCCCTGGTAGGCATTAAATTAAAACTCTAAGCTTAACCTTACCTAATATTTTAAACTTTTAAATCAGACTCTTGAACATATCTTGATACCTATAATTTAGTGGTATAGTTAGAAGCTCTCACCTTCTGCTCTGTTGCATACAGCTATTGATCTAAAAGTCTTTAACAATTGGGGAGGCTTTTTCATGACATGACAATTTCTTTAATCAGTGATACTCTTTAAACTCCATCACATCTGTGCACTCAAAATAAATATTCCTACAGGTTTCTAAAATTTGTGATTTTAAATTGAATTCAGGAACCCGTCTTCTCTATTTTTGGGAGTTTGTGTGGACTGTTGCCTCCTTCCCAACTAAATCCAGCTCAGAAATATTCCCAAGCCACAAATGTAGTTCTTTTTTTGGGAAACTAGCTATTAATATCCCCATGAAAGGCAGGGGGAAAACATGCACCATGGAAGAAAATTACAGTTTGTAACTATTTTTTTTTAACAAATAAAAAGTTGGGATAGGAATGAACTTATGTGATCAAACTGCATCTGCGTCTCTTTCCGATGTGATCATTTCAGTCTAAGTGGGATTCTAAATTCAAAGTCCCCAGTAAATAGGGAGATTAGAGAATCTGTACTCATTAACAAGAATTGGAGAAGAAAAGGTTCTCTGCTATTTTGGGCTGTGAAGCATCTTAGATCAAAGATTTTGGGCTATTTAGTTGGGCGACGGAATTCAAGGGAAAGCAGGTTCCATTTAGAATCCATATATACAGGAATCAAGTTCTGTAATAACTAAGTTCTTGCTGCAACCACATACTTGGTAGAAGCTCAAATACTTTTCCTGATGAATTTCGAACCTTTTCCTGTCATATATTTATATGTTAATTGTTCCCTCATTGCAAGGTCATGACCACCAGTCCAAGACCAAATCTCCGAATCTAGACTCTTATTTATATTATATCCATAATCTAATCTTCACCGTAATGGCATTGTGGCATTCATCGTTGCCATAATGGACCTTCCGTTGAACATTTATCGGACCAGTGCCATAATCTGCACTGGTTAGTGGGAACCCTTGGGCCTTGAAGTATTCAAAAGGGCGGCCCTCTCTGCAGGGACATGGCTAACTACTACTAGTCTACAAGTACCCTATATATATATATATATATATAAGGCAACTCTAAATAGTGGAGAAATCAAATTCAGAGCTTAAGAAGAATAGATGAAACTACTGTCTGAACAGATTTTTAGAAAAAGGTTTTGCCGTTCTTGACTCTATATTTATTTAAACTGACGTCAAATTATAGCATCAATCTTGCCGCTGATTATTGCGTAATTGGACTTGCATGGTTGGGTTGGTGCCGAAAGTCCATTGCTGATGTCGAAGTTTTGAGTCAAAGTCAACCATGCTAGCATATTTTACGGAAATCAATTAGTCGGAAATTGATATCATCTCAGCTGGGCATGCTGCTACTGCTGCCATTGCTTAAGCTTTCTCTTCTGCCCTCTCCTTCTGCATCTTTTCTCTCTCTCTTTTTTCTGTATAGGCAGCTTGTAAAGGCTACATTCTTCCAGGTCCGTCAAAAATTGTGGGGTTATTAAATTTTTCCTGTGCATTGGTTTGTTTAATTATTTTCTCCATAAGTGAGTATACCTTGTAATCTTTTCTCTTTTTCTTCTTTTCAACATTTCCTTGTCAGCCTGCAAGCAAGTTCAATCCTTTCCTGAATTTACCACGAACCTTTCTTTCGAGTGAAAACTAAGGTGGGGTTGGTAATGAGTTCAATTGACACCCGCCCTGACGATCGACCTCGCCCTTGCCCTCCAATTCTACATCTGAGATTGTAAATTCAGACAAAATGCAAGTTTAGAAATGCCTAGTAACTAACAAACGCCTTTATAAACTTGCATTTTGTCTGAATTTGCAGCCTTCAGTAGCTGAATATGGGACTAATGGCTTGCCTGCCCGCTAGAATAATTGGCTGAGTGGCTCTTGATCAAGCTGAATGGAGCGCATGGTTGGAGCAGCTGGATTGAGTGGATATATAAGACATTGATGCATACATTTGATCCATTGAAAATTGAGTTAGTTCTCGTCTTGTTGATTGGCTCTTTGAATTGATATAAACTGCTTGCACTAATAAATAGTATATATAATTTCTAGGTTCTAAGTTGGGTGCAGGGGCATAATCAAGCACTATACAGCTTGGGATCAACTAAAAGCCCTGGTCTTCCATCCGCAGCCAGGAGGTAAAACAATTTGAAGGCAATACGCATTACAGCAGTTAATCTCTTAATTTGCCAAAGTATGCTAAAGTGTCAACAATGAACTAGCTGAAAAATTGCCATTACATGTCATGTCTCCTGAAGATATCATTCTTGATATATGCATACAGTAATTCCTAAAATAAGTGGCTGTACTCTCTTTTTTTTCTGTTGTTATGGCTTCTCTAGGGTAATAAAGTTTGGAACAGATTTATCATTTTACTCAGCATCTTAACCTTACTTTTCCTCTTTATTTTTGTATATTTTTTTAATATTTGAACAGATTGCTGAGGAGGCCATTACACCCATTGGTTGAACTCTCTTTTAGATGTCAATTCAAAATAGGAATGCTGGTAATGTTGCAACTCCCATATTGTAGTTTAGTAAAAGAAGGGTTTATAGATTAATGATGAACTATAAGGGTTAATATACCTATGTCAAACCACCATATCCCCTCTGCATCAGGAATTGAAAACAAAGAAGAGAGAAAGTTGTAGCAGTTAAAATTAATGTTGAAGTCCTTCATGCATAAAAACCATTCATATTCCAAAGAAAAAATGTAATTAATTGGTCCAAAGGAAAGTAGCTGTGTAACAAGATCAATATGTCAGAGCTTAAGAAGTATTTGAACAGATATTTAGAAGAAGATTTTGCCTTTATTGACTCTATATTTATTAAACGGACGTAAAATCATAGCGTCAATCTCGCCGTTGACTACTTGATGGTTGGGTTGGTGAGGGGTGGTGCCGAAAGTACCTTCTTCATGGTTAAGTTTTGAGTCAGAGTCAACCATGCCTGAGTATATTTTGCGGAAATCAGGCAATCAGAAGAAGCTACTGCTGCTGTTATTAACCTCTCTCTTGCCCTCTCCTTCTGCTCTTGTCTCTTTTCTTTCTGCATAATGCATAGGCAGCTTGCAGGGACCACGTAATTTCTTCTAGGTCCATCAAAAATTGTGGGGTTTTCCTGTGCATTGCTTTGTTTTATTATTTTCTCTATAAGTGAGTAGACCTTGTAATCTTTTCTCTTCTTCTTCTTCTTCTTTTCAACCTTTCGAGGTTTTGAAGTTTTGACATGAAAAACTTTCCTCGTCTGCCTTGCAATCAAGCTCAACCCCATTATTGAATTTACAATGGGGTGCTTACCATGAACCTTTCTTTCGCTAGAAAACTAAAGTGGTTTTCGTAATGGGAGCAACTGACACCCGCCTTGGCCATCAACCTCGCCCTCCATATTTGCATCTGAGATTGCAAATTCAGACAAATATGCAAGTTTAGAAATGCCTAGCAAGTAACAAAGGCCATTATAAAGTTGCATTTTGTCTGAGTTTACAGCTTTCAGTAGATGAATATGGGAATTAATGGCTTGCCTGCTAACTAGAATAATTGCTTTGAATGGAGCACAATGGTTGGAATAGCTGGATTAAGTGGATATATAAGATATTGTTACTTAGATTTGATCCATTGAAAATGGAGTTAGTTCTCGTCTTGTTGATTGGCTCTTTGAACTGATCCAGGTTCTAAATTGGATGCAGCCGCATAATCAGGCAATATATAGCTTGGGATCAACTGAAAGCCCTGGTCTCCGATCCGCGGCCACGAGGTAAAACAATTTGCAAGGCAGTACGCATTACAGCAGTTCAATCTCTTTGCCAAAGTATGCTCGAGTGTCGAGAATTCCGGAACTAGCAGAAAATTGCCATTACATCTCAGGTCTCTTTCCTCATAGTAAAGATATCATTCTTTATATATGAATATAGTAATTCTTTAAATAACTGGCTTAATTAATTACTCTTTTCTTTCTGTTGTTGTGCCTTCTCTGGGATAATTAAGTTTGAACAGGGATAGAGCTAGCCAATTTTTGTTAGAGGGCTAAATACAGAACAATAAAGATTAAAAATTTTAAAAACAAATATGTTAAATTCAATTAAAAATTAAAAAATTGATAATAGAAATATAAAATTAAATAAAAAATATAATGTGTAAAATATAAATAATTAAATACAATATATAAAATTAATAATTTTTTCTTATATAATCATGATTATTTAAAAACTATATATTTAAGATAATTTCATATCAACTAAATTATAAACGTAAAGCACATAAAAAATATACTCAAGTTAATTTTCTCTTATATAATCAAGATAAATAAGAAAATAAGGTATTAATGAAATTTTAAATAGCAATATAACAGTACAATTTATATTTGAGAATTATATAATAATTTATTAAATTTTAAAGATTAAAATTATGAAAAACAAAATTTATATAATTGAAAAAAGAAGAATATGGTTAGTAGAAGTTACCACATATGACATTACAAAAAAAAGAAAAAAAATATGATTGATGGATTGTAAAAATTTGAGAAAGAAAATCTATAAAAACTTAGAACATATGAGTAAATAAAATAGAAATGAAAATAAATAAATAATAATAATATAAATTAAAAAATAAAAAAAACTTTAAAGTTGAGTGAGATATATAAAATCATTTAATTATTTTTTATTTGTATTAGTTATTAAATAAAAAATTATTTTGAGAGGATTATTAAGAGAATATATAAAAAATTTTAAAATTTTATATGTAATGAAAAGAAATTTAAAAATTTTGGGGGTCAAGGCTTCGCCCCTGAACGGATTTATTATTTTTACTTAGCTTTTTGAACTAACTTTTCCTTTTTCGTTTCATTTTTATCTTTTAATATTTGAACAGAAGACTATTACACCGAGAACGCTAATGCTCTGCTTCGATTTGGTGCCCTGTTCCTACCCCAATCCCAAAATTATGTTAATTGTCTAAATTATTAAAATCCCAAATGGACAAATCACTTATCACAACAAGAACTTAACTAGATATCGACAACCCATCCAATTAACCCAGAATGGATGTTAGATTACACCAGTCACCAATGTTCGACTTGCAAAGCACTAGGCGATAAATTGGTATGGCCTGGTTTTCCAGGCTGAAATTTCTATTCAGGTTGACTTGGGTTTGGTGGTGGGATGAGAGAGTGGAAGAAGGACGAAAAATAATTCTCTATTTACTAACAGAAAGTGAAAAATGTTTTAATATGCTGAGTTTTGTGGTTTTTCTTCTCATTTTCATTTAGATTCTTAAGGTTTTGCCTTCAACTATTTGTTGATTGCTATATGTGATGATACTCTTGAAAAATAACAAAAATAAACCTGACACACTTGAAATTATTTTGCTGATAGCGTCATCCAATGTGCAATCTGACATGCTTTTATTTTGCATTCAACTAGATTTGTTCTTGGGATGCTGTTGGTTGCCCATTATCTCTGAGAAAGTGTAAATGATAGAGAGAAGGGTAGAGGATATTTTGATTTGATTGTATAGATAACATGAAAACTAGTTTTGATAGGACACTGGTACAGTTTTCCTTCGATTTTTTTAACACTAGGGAGCAGGGAAGTTTCGCATGAATGATGCTGCTATGTTGCTTGAGATTTATGTCACATTGAGAACTTGTTTGATTGTAACTCTAATTAAGTGGGAGTCTCAATTGTTCTTTGTAGAGGGTTTTTTTATTAGAGATAGAAGATATATTGCAATAAGTAAATCATAATGCGCTAAAAGAGGCAAAGAAGAAGATTGGAGTAGGCCTTGAAATGTAAGTGCTTTGAATGGCAGGTAGTGAGAGATGAGAAAAGGTGAAAGAAGCAGCGGATTATAGAGAATGGTAAGAGCTGAATAAAAAGAATGCTTGGGGAGTCTCAAAAGAGCTTTTAGTATAATCTGTGTTGGCTTTCTAATGATTTTCCCTTACCTTACTACCTTTAAAGCCTTCATATTTATGGTGAACATGAATATTTTCTTAAGAGTAGTTAGTAGAACACGTGCTTGCTATGGAAGAGTAGTTAAAGAACGATTTATAAGATATTAAAAAAATTATCATGTAATTGGATAGTGGATATAAGTTTTGAGTAATAGAGTAGTAGCATTTAATAAGTTTTGAGTAATAGAGTAGTAACATTTAATAGTACACCACGGGCATTCTTAAGAAGCAATGAAAGAAAAAAAAAGTGTAGCACATGTATTTCAAGGAAGAGGGAGTCCTTTTAACTATTTTCATATCCAAGCTACCAATCCAAGTTCTTTAGAATGTCTTAAATGTGAAAATAACTCATGAATCTTGTCACTTATTCTGAGTTGCTTTTCCTTTCCTGTACAAATAGCTATGTTTATGAGTGTTTTCGTGCTGGGAAGTGCTTCTATATTTGGAATACTTATAGGTACTTCCACGCTTGAAACACTTTAAATATTTTTGCGCTTAGAACACCTTTCATGTAATTTTCTTATAACACAATACTTCAAAAATAATAATTAATTAAAATTAAGCATCTACATTCTTCACTTGCTTTTCTTTTTGATTTACATAGTACAAGCTATTTGGAGATTTTAATAATTTTGACAAATCGCATAATTTTGAATTAGGATAAAATGTCACGGTTCGTAGATCCGTGATTAGTCCAATCTGCCATTGTTTATCCAGCAGCACGTATGTCTACTGCCTAGCCCCTAGGCACGATTGGGGCAGGGAGTTTGTTGAGGGCTGTAAGTAGATAGCCTGTAAAAAAAGAGTTCCAGACAATCCCAATAGTAAGGTGCTCAGGCCACAATAGTGGCACACAAGCCAGCAGACAGCACACCCTAAAGTAGTTTGACTAGCATCGCCAGCTAGTACAACAAACCAAGCAAGTAGAGCCACACGACACGCGTACTAGGCGTGCATTCCACAGATCTACATGCCAAATGCACCATCAAATCTGAGCCAGTTTGAGCAGTGCAAGGTCCGGTAGTAAGGGCCAGCACGCATACAGGCCGCGCACATTTCAGCCTCATAGGAAAAGGCCGCGTGCATAATCAACTCGATACCATTGGGCCGTGCAATAGAAGGCCACATGATCCTTGCCTCACAAGCAGCCCGTGCACAAAACAGCAACACACATGGGCGGCCCCACAGCAACAGGACAAACGGGCCACACATTCTCAATGCCCACACGCCAAAAGGGGCTTCACCCTGGCAGCACTCTACAAAGCCTAATGGTAAGAGCTGACATCATTAGGGCTCGCACATGCTGAACGCCCATCAGCAACAGGTGCAAGTCAGTTCCACATGAGCGTCGCATACCAAGCCAACCTATCTAGGAGCCGCTTGCTCATAGAGTCTAACCCCGAGGAAGACCACTCCTTGGAAGACCTGACAGAGACACCAATTAGCTCACCCAAGAGCACCAGCTTAAAGTGCATTTCGCCAAACCACAATCGCAGATGGCCATGGAGCTTTGCAGAGATAGGGGCCAACTACAAACAAGCCATCCACACTAAACCAACAAAGTGCTCCAATAGCTCGCACGCACTAGCAGGAGGCAACAGCAGCTCACATGCTCAGCACACAGAAGCATAGTGCTGCCGACTTCATAGCCAAGCAAGTTTCTATGGTTTTTAAAATCTTTGTCAATTTTCCTAACTTGTGAGAATATTTGCTTACCAGTAAGCTTAGTTTTAAGACTTTCCTTTCATGCAAATTTAAATTACTTGGGCATCAAGTTTAAGTCAAGTAAACTATTATAAATAGCATCTTAGAGTGTTTTTATGAGGCATCAAAATGTCGAGTCTTATTATCAAGTAATTTACTTTATATTTAAATCTTAAATACTTTATTTTTTTTCATTACAGTAATAATATTTATTTATTTTCTCAATCTCTTTTTTTATATTTAATTATTTTTTGTTTTTACGTCGTTCATTAAGAAATCTTATTTAAACGTTATATGAAACTTAGCTAAAGTTCCTAGCCCATGACACAAGAATCGGGGCACGAAATGGGGTCAAGGATTTACGATCATTACACCTGTAGGATGAACTCTCTTTTAGATGCCAATTCAAAGTGGGACTGGTAATTTTGCTGCTACCCTATTGTAGTTTAATAAAAGAAGGGTTTATAAATTAATAATGAATTATAAAGGCTAATATACCTATTTCAAACCACCCTAAATTAAAAACAAAGAAAAGAGAAAATTGTAGTAGTTAAAATGTTCAAGTCCTTCATGAATAGTAACCATTCATATTCCAAGGAGATACTGATGATTGAGAAGATGGGACTTCAAATAGTCTAAGGAGATTGTTATTTGATTTCTCAACCAATCTCCATGAACATGTTATGCATAAAATATATGCACAGTGCATTCCAAAGAAAAATGTAATTAATTAGCTCAGTAGTGAAAAAGTAACTGTGTAACATAAATATGTCAATGGTTGATTCTTCAAAACCATCAAGTTTATCTGATTTCTGATCTGCTTTGCATTTCAAGAAATGATCAGAAGCCAGTGGCAAATTAGACAAGTCTATAAAGAAAATTATTTACAATAGTCCATCGTGCTCGATCAACAAGATTTCAGAAAGAATTCCCGGTATCTACAACAAAAGGAAGAATTGGTGTCACTTGTTCTGGTTTTCTTCAAGGCAAAGACAAGTAATTAATGTATGTTGAAAAGCTAACGTTCTGCAACTAAGCTTGATTGTGTCGAATCTGAAGAGCAATTTCATAACCAAGCCTCTGCACAGGAATACAAACTTTTACCAATGTCATTTGTTTATCAGAATCTTGGACCTTATGAACAAATTTCAACTTCAGAAACAGATTTAATCTCTATTATAACAATTTAACCTAAATACACTATTTTCATACAAGTAGTTAGCATAAATAGGTGGATTTTATCTCTTTTTTGCTCAATATTATTAATATATATTAAAATTATATCACCAGTAAATATTTTATTTTTAATTCAAAAACATATTTATTAAGTAGAAGAAGACCTTCACTTATATATCTAAAATTTATTTATTTTCTTAATGATGTGTGATCCATAATTGATACATAATTTAAGTGTGCAAGTGCACAAAAACCTTTTATATTTTCTTCTCTATCTATATTTTTCTTTACTCTTAATAAGCCTTTATTAATTATCAACCATTATTTTATAAATTAAACATAATTATATTAATATTTTAAAATTTTATATTTAAATATTTAATTTATTAATTAATTCATAGTACCTCTTAATGTTGATTTAAATTTTTTTAAAAAAATGTATTTTAAAATTTTAATATTAATAAATATCTTAAAGAATAAAAAAAAATGGGGCAGTTGGCGGATTGGGGGAGTTCACCCGCAACGACGCAACTGCTAGCGTTACGGGCTATCCATCGTCACCTAAAAACGGGAACATTGTAACACGCTCTTCGACGAGTGGGGCAAACATCCCTTTGATTTTTTTATACAGTAATATCTAATTCTTACATATTAATATTCTTTTGTTTGGTCATTTATTCATTTTAATTTGTCAATAAAAGTGGTTACAAAAAGGACGTTTTGAAGTTTCTAATTTATACCACGCGCTTTGGCCCAGCACGTGGGCTAAATCAAACGTTTCATTTCTCTGAAACAAGCATAGTAGGGAGGACACACACTAAAAAAAAAAAAACTTAGATCTTTCTCTTCCCTTACTCAGAATCCGTAACTGCAATCTGATGGGGTTGAACATTTTTTACTAAAACAAATGAATTCTCTCTCCACATCTTCCACAGTTTCTTCTTCTTCAGCTTCACCCACTTCCTGGTTTTCCAGCATTGTTAGGGGCCGTCAAGACAGGTCCTCCTCCGTCAAAATGGCAGGAAGCTCCTCCTCAGGTAGCGGCGTCGCCGCCGATTGCGAAGGACCCATCAAGGGCAAGAACCAGTTCCGTGGTGTGCTCTTCAAGTATGGGCCTAAGCCCATTCAGGTCCATTCAATTCAAATTTTGAATCTTTGCTTAATTGGGTATTTATATCGGCCTGAATATGAGTTAAAAGGTTAGGTTTTCTAGTGAAATTAGTAAGATTTCTATGATGGATAGTTTTCAATTTGATTCATTCATGGTATGGAGTGAGGCTGAAGAGAGTTTTGATTTTTTTTTTTTAAACTGAGGTGATTAATAATCGATGGTTTGAGTTCCTTTATATTCATTTTAAGAACTAAATATGGTAAACGGGAGTGGTTGTGGAAATTTGCAATTCTTTAGATTTGGAATTATTGTAAACTACTATTATCAACATAATATATAATCCTGAGTTGAATAAAATATTTAGAAGTGCGTTTGTGATCTATTCCAGTTACTGGTTAGTAGTTTACTGAAGCATGTTATGTTGTCATTCTCAATGATCTATTATGTTGAACTCATTGAATGATAACTCTTTATCAAGTGAAAATGTGGACAACTTGTTTGTTCTGGACCGTACTTTAGTCTGTAGGTCGTATTTGAAATGGCTGCAACATATCTCATTCATTTTTAATAGTTAAGTTGAGCAGGCATTTCAAGATTGCAGGTCATATTTGCAATCAATAATAGAGGATTAGTTTTATGCCTTTGGACAACAGCTGTCATTCCTTTGATAGCTTTAGTATTTCCAGTTAGAATTGTAGAGCTACCTGGTTTTGTAAGAATTTGACTTTAGTGATATGCCAAACTGTGTCAATGATGATACTATTTAGCTGGACTTAGCCGGTAAATTGAAAAATTCTTATTGATTTGGCTTCTTGGTAATGTTGGAACATGAACAGGTATGATTTTGCATGTGTGGTATGATTTTTAAATTGATGAATGGAAATTTTGGCTGTTGGTTAGTATTGTTTCTATGGATCAGTTGCCCTGATAATGCTCTCTATTGGACTTCAGACTTCTACTGGCTCTACATTTATTTTGAAATTAGATGTCGCTCTTAGTTTGTCTTTTTCCTTGTAGGTTGCATTCAAAACAGGTGACTATAAGCAACAAGTTATTTTCATTGGTGGACTAACAGATGGATTTCTAGCGACTGAGTATGTTTCCTATCACATTATCTTCATGAAAGAAATGAACATCTGTTTATAGGAATGAGATCTAGCATAATGAGGGAGATGAGTGATTCTTTTGTTACGTTATCCATCTACAGAAGTTTTTTCTTTCTGCAAAGATCAACATTTTTAAGGTGTTGCTGATTAATGCGGACAGACTTGCCACTGTAGACTATATTCTTTTCTTTTAGAGTTGTTTTGTTGGTTATCTCTGCAATGCTAAAAGCCTAAAACAAAGTTGTACCTAAATATGTGTACCTTAGAAAATTTGAGAAGTGAGATAAATCCATGGAATGACTTCTGAGGAGGCACAGGCATTTTTGGTTTGACTAAAGTATTGAGAGAGATTGAACATATAAGATCAATGTTTCTTTGTGGCATGGTTGGATGTTCAATTTATATTTCAAATCTTGTAATTCTTAAATGTAATTTTCTTTTTTTGATTGTCAGATATTTGGAACCTCTTGCAATTGCTTTGGATAATGAGAAATGGTCACTAGTTCAACTACTTATGTCATCTTCATATACTGGATATGGCACCTCCAGCTTGCAACAAGTAAGACATATTTTTTAGGTAGACATTGATGATTCTGCATGAATCGATCTTATTATTTCTAGGTTCTTTTCTTTTTCATTGTTGTTTCATTCATATGAGATGAGTTAAACTTTCACTGGAGTGGCTTATCCTATTCTACTTATATGTTGGGTAAAGCCCTGGTTTTGCCCTTTTAAATATTTATTTCACAATAATGCCACTCTTAAAAATGACGCCATTATGAAAAGACTGTGAGATCTAACTTGTGGCAAACTGCTTGTTTTACATGGAGATAAGGGGTTAGCTTAGGAATTTTTTCCACTCTAACATGTATATTTCTTTATGAAAGCCTTGGTCTTCACAAGTATTTTTTATGTCGGAGCTTTGTTTTCAATGAAGGGGTGGCGGTGTAGGATATTTTTATTATTAAATATTTCGTTCTTTTGCATTTATCAAAGATGCTGAAGTGGATATGTCAGATTGGACTAGTACCTTAATGGGCAAGTGCTCTGTCAACATTGACATGAAACCACCCAGTCATCCTAAAGTTTCAGTACTTTTTCCTCCCTTTACATGGGAAAAGTTCCTTATTTAAATATATTTGTTTTGATGAAACAGACATCTTGTATTCATTCAAGTTGCCTTAGTAATTTTTAGTAAATATGACTAGTTGATATTAGAAAAAACGTGTTTTAAGAAATCAGTCTTCAAATTTGAACATCATGCCTTCATATTAATTTATCTAAAATATTGCTCATAGAATTAATATCATGCTCCTTCACCAATTTTATTTGGACCATCTAAGTCTTAATTTAGAAATTGGCCAAGAATAGTGAGCAAACTAAGCTAGTTGCTTAGTCTCTTGCTTCTTCCCTTCTTTTTGGCTGGAGGAGAGAAATATTTACTATTATGTTTCAGATTTTGGCTATTGAACACCTGCCAGTGTTTACTATAGGTAGGCTGACTTAACCTTCTGGTCAGAATTTTATGGTTTGAAACTTTTCATATTTTAATGATTTCATAATTATTTGGCAGTTTAGGTTGAAATGAGTGTGAGCGTACCTTGGTTGTGCTCTGCTTCTTATTTGAACATTGTGCCTTCAAATTAATTGTGCTCCTTATTTAAGATGTTCTTGCGTCATATGTCTTGAAGGATGCCATGGAGATAGATCAGCTTATCAGTTATCTAATCAACAAAGAAAATTCTGAGGGTGTGGTCCTACTTGGTCATAGTACTGGCTGTCAGGTAGCTGCTGACTTTGTGTTAAATTTTTTCTGTATCCAAAGCTTGTTTGACTGCTTACCGGTGGCATTTTCTGAGGGAATAAGGTTAATCTTTTAATTTGTTTGCGTATGAATCTAGGATATTGTGCATTACATGCGTACAAATGCAGCTTGTTCCCGAGCAGTCCGTGCTGCCATTTTGCAGGTAGCTGCTCTTCTCTTTGATCAGCTTCTTCTTCTTCATATATTTTATCTGCAGCTTATGTACTTCACAAATAGAAGAAAGTGAGACAAAGGGGATCTTTGCTTGTCTGATACCATGATCAGTTGAGGAGAAATCCTGCTGAGATCCAATTTTTGATGGTTTGAAGTAGAGGAACACCCATATTACAGTTTGGCAGTGTCTTACGGTATCATTTATGGAAATTAATTGAAGAACTTTATATGGTTTACAACCAATATGTTCTTATTTTAATCCAGGCGAAGATGTTAGTACCATGAAAGAATGATGACTTCCATTACTTTATTCTTACCTAGTGCAACATTTCTTTTCTAGCAATTGCCTACAGAGTGGTTTACTTGCAGCTTTGTTCTTATTGCCAATTTGAATGTTCAGGCTCCGGTTAGTGATCGAGAATACAGAGCAACTCTTCCTGAAACGGCTACTATGATTGACTTGGCTTCAAGCATGATAAAGGAAGGTCGGGGTTCAGACTTAATGCCCAAGGAAGCTGATCCATCTTCGCCTATAACTGCCTATAGGTAGGTATGCTACTGCTGTCTTTCATCTGGAAACAACTATTTGCTTTTAGTTATTCCTCATTTTGCAAAAGCTGATTAAAATCCCCCCTTTTCATTATATGGGTTCTATCTGCCTATAATGTAGTTTATTCTATCTGTACAAATTTAACAGTATGGGGTATGTGATATAATCATAAATCCAATGAATTCGTGCAAGTGTTGGATATTTTTACAAAAAATACTAGGTCACATTTCTCTTTCTTGTGATTGATTTTGCTCCATTATATTTTCTTGTTTCATCTTTTATGCTAGTGCCTTCATTTATATTTTCCTCATTGAGAATTCTCATGTTTTGCAGATATAACTCCCTTTGTGCCTACATGGGGGATGATGACATGTTCAGTTCCGACCTCAATGATGACCAGCTAAGAATGAGACTTGGACACATGGCTAACACCCCTTGCCAGGTAGAATATACCTTTCCTATTTTTTGTACTCACAGTAGCTGCTGATGGTAATGTTCATTAAAATGTGAGAGACATATTCATAAACATCATGATCTTGGGCAACCGGTCATTTTATCATTGGGTTAGGGGACTCTGTTTCTCCTTTGTGATTGGGTTACCACATTCTCTTTATGTGTGTTATCATAGGTTTTGCTTAATAGCTAGATTTCTCAGTGGTTCAAGTTCAGTAAGTTAAGCTTGTGTATCTCACGGTTTTCTTTCAGGTTATCTATTCCATGGCTGATGAATATGTGCCTGAGTATGTTGATAAGAAAGCATTGGTTGAAAGGTGAGAACAGAAACACTCCTTCAGCTAATTTTTCTCAGGCAACCATTTCGCATTTGCTTCAGCATATCCTTTTAGTAGCATCTCTTTCTTGAATGCATGTGTGTGCATGTCTTTGTGTGTATGAGTGAGAGAGAGAGAGAGATAAAGGTTTTGTTTCTTTTTTCTGATTTGATGATCAGGTTGGTTTCTCATCTCCTGTTGCAGTTAATGTTTCTCAGTAAACATTTGTGCATTCAATTCAGCATATTCTGTTTGTAACATCTCTTTATTCCATGCATGTCTATGCGCGCGCGTTTGTATGTGTGTGTGTGAAAGAGAGTTTTTCCTGATCTGAGTGAATGATCATATTGATTAGTAAACTCATACAGATTGTGCAGAGCTATGGGTGGTGCGGAGAAAGTTGAAATTGAATACGGGAATCACTCCCTCTCTAACCGAGTCCATGAAGCTGTGCAGGCCATTATTAGCTTTGTTAAAAGAGAAGGACCCAATGGCTGGGATGATCCATGGAGCTAATGCTCTGATACTTCATACTCTGATTATCTCTTTTTATTCTTTTTTGTTACTATCTCTTCTCTCTATTAATTCATCTTTTTCATTTTTTAATATTCATGCTCTTTAATTTTGATGTTTTTGTCATATCATATACAACAAAGGCTGTGTGAATTTCGTCCCAAGGCTAGTCTGAATGAATTTTTATCCTTTGGATTGATGAGCCTTGCCCCCCTTTAGATGGAACCTGAGTGTTGGCATTAAACGATTACAGAATTTTTTTCTTTCCCCAGAAAGCTCGAGGGAGTTTCAATATACATATATAATTTAATATCTCTTATTCCAACTATTTAGATTAATATATTGTTGAATTCTTTAATATTCTCCTATCATTTTTAGCATGAAAAATCTTCGAAGGGCATTATTTTCAGCTCATACAGTCTTTGCTTGTGACATGCTAACGGAACAACCCGAAAATCACCACTTTTCTGTGGAAAGATCAAACAAGAGCTGCTCTCACAGTTTTTACCCAACAGCCAACAAAATTCCACATTGGACAGAGCTTTTAGACTTTTCACAATCAAAGCCACCAATCTTTTGTCACTTTTGTGGGCTTAGGGAATTGAAGCCAAAGGAGTTGGTTTCCTCGTGGTGGGTGGCGGTGGGGGCTTGGTAACTTGCCAATAATGGCACACTGCTAATGCATTTTTGTTTTGCATAGGGCAAGCTCAATGTTGGATTTGGTTAAACTAACCTCTTTGCTGTTACATCATATACTATCATAAGAAAGAAATTTGAGGTTTACCATACCATGACTCTCTTGCTGTTACACAACAAACACTTAAAGCAATGATTTTTCTTTACATTCTATTAATTCAGCATTAAACAGTACAGTGTCTATATCACCGAATTTATGACTTCATGATAAATTTACTGATATCTCTTGCAAATTAAATTTCGAAATTTTTTCCACAAATATATTAAAACACAAAAAATCAGGAAGCATATCCATAGAACAGCTGTTGGCCAAAGAAATGAGGAATGGCAGCTTCACGCATTTCAAGTTTTCAACCACAAAACTTTATTTCTGGTTCATTCAATTGGCAGTTCAATGGTGGGTGCAAAATGGTCCACCAAGATGTTGATTTTCCCATACCCATAGACTACTAAACAAGGGAAATAGTCCTCACACGTGCAAAGCACATGCCTTTCCCCTGCAGACTGCCCCTTTTATTTAGGGGACCCTGATTTAGGTGAAAGCAAATCCAAAGAAAAATCAATGATGAAAAGGCAGCCAGCTAAGTTGTCCGAATGCAGCTGGAAGGCAGTGAAAGTGAATCTGTTTACAATGGCCCTTTGCTTGGCTGCATTGACAGGTGTTCCATGGAAATTCAGTCCTTGTCCAGAAAGCCATTCAAAGCTTTTTTATGCTTTTGACACTTCTGCATTTCGCACCCACTATGTGTAAATTTGGAAATATTTTGTCTTCCGTGGGCAGGAGAGAGTGACATTTGGCCGTCTTTGTGTGAACCCATCTTTTGCATGGAAAATGTAATTCATACCCTATTCTTTCATAGCTTTGACATAGCAAGTTGGTATAAAAAAGGGCAAAATCTTACTGGAATTAGCATTCTAATGAACAAAGGAAATGGTGATATATGATGGTCATGGTGGACAAAATTTTGATGGGTCAAATACAGTTTAAATAGTTGAATAGATGTGTAAATTGTAATGCATGCAACACCATTTGCCTTTTCATTCCAAAGCAATGGAATTTTATACCACAACCATAATCAGATTTTGACTCTTCACTATCGTTATCATTATTGTTATTATTATTATTAAACTTCAATGGTGTGGGCCTTCACTCCTTCCATGATGCATCTTCTTTCTTCCTTTCCTTTCCTTTTCCTTTTCCTTTTCTTTCTTTTTGACGAGTCATGCACGTCAACATGCAAGGTTATTTGTTCTTCGATGACAAATCATAATCACAATATCACATAATATATTTATGAAAAAAATATCTATATAAAAAATACAAAGTATTAATAATAAAATTAGACTAATTTATATATGACAAGCCTTGAATAATGTGCACTCATTTTCTTAATTTTTTTCACATGAAAATAAAGTGATGTGCATCTCAAGTTGAATGAAAATCTAAAAGATCTCCCGACCAATAGGAGCAAAAAATATTTTCCTTGCAAATAAGAAGATATGTACCCTTTATTTTCCTTCACAAAATAAAAAAGACATTAAAATTTGGAGTACCCATGTTGTCTTCCAATCAAGATCCACATAATTTCACATGGATCCAATCCTTAGATACTGTTTGTAAAGACAGCCCTTTTGTCCTTTTTTTTTTTTTTG